ACTCACTTGGTAGCCCAGGCTGGCCTCGAACTCACAGAGATCCGCCTGGCTCTGCCTCCCGAGTGCTGGGATTAAAGGCGTGAGCCACCGCCGGGCGGTGGACTTTTAAATCCTCACTCTCCCTAGTTTGGAAGCCGTGGGTCACTGAAGTTTCCCGGGCAGCACAGACGCCAGCGCCTCTAAAGCAAAACGAGAAGAGGAAAGGAAGGCTCTGCAGTCTTCAGGAAAAGACAACTCCTCTCCACAAAAGCTGAGTGCAAGTCAGACCTTGGTACCCTTTACCCAGATCCCAGCCCCATTGCTCAGCTCCCAGCGACCTTAGAGGGGCAGGAAGAGGACGCCACCGGGGTGGACAGGCGAGAGAGGTGTGCTTCTTACCGCGGTGAGGACCCTGAAGTCATCTCTGCTCATGTACCTCAGCTTGGCCACGTTTACCTTCCCCATGCTTGCTCAGCTCCGGCTCAGCTCCAGCGCCGACGCTCACACCGGACGCGCAAAGCCGCTGGGTAATCTCGCGGGCTTTCTGCAGGTTGCCGGCCCACCCAGGCGCTCTGTGTTTACAGTACTTGTTAGTAGGTAAGAACGCCTGCTTGACTGGTACTGGAAGATGCTACATTTTCTGGTCTAAGAACTAAAAAGCAGGGAAAGGTGATTATTCGCTTTTTCAGTTTTTTTTTTCTTTTACACGTGACTGATCTGGCGGGTTGCAACTTTTTCTCATAATATGACACGTTACTTTTCAGAGCTGCCAGGACCTGATTCGGAAATAAGGCTTCACTTCCGGAAGCAACAGCGCTCAGGTCAGGGGAGGGGCAAATTTTGTCCCTTACGGGCGGCGTCTACTTTAGTGCTGAGACTGTCTACTGTAAAAGCAGGGAGGGAAATGACCAAGTGAGACTCCAGGCCAGCAAAGCCACCGGAGGGAAGGCGACAGAGCGCCACGCGCCGCATCTCGGTCGCCTGCGCCTGTCCCGCAGAGGAGGCTGGGTTAGGAATCTCTGGCTTCAGCCTCTGCTGCCCGCCTGGCGGGACGGGGACCCCAGGACCGGTTAGGCGGAGCTGCTCTCCTTACTTCCCTACCCCCGCTTCTTTGGAAGCTCGCGTTTTGATGTTTCTGGGGGTCCAGGAGCAATTGAAAGGGTTTATGGGAGACTTCTATTGGACTTGCTTCTTCTCTCTATGCCTACTTAGAATCGTGGAGCTCTACCCAAGACAAAGATGTCTATACCGTACCTTCTTCACAACAGCAGCAGCAGATTAACAACAGTGTGAAACTTGGTTAAGCTGCTGTGAACAGTCAAAGGACATCTGCAAGTGTTGGAATCAGCTTTTTAAAAACAGTGAGGGCGTTTCCTCAGTTACTATTACCCGGATACTCCAAACTTATTTCTGAATCTGGGACATGCTTGCTAAGAATTGAAGCTTGGCATTAATTGATGTGTGGTTGTCACTGTTAGTTATTGTTAAGATGATTTGCTTTACAGAAGCAAATATAACATGTGCCTGTATGAAATAAAAGTTTTCACAATAGAGTTCATACAAAGATAGCTTGTTGTTGAACATTCTTAGACCTTTTATTATTTATTTGTTTTATAATTTAATTTTACGTATCAGCCACGGATTCCCCTATTCTCCCTCCCCAGCCCACCTCCCACCCTCCATTCCCATCTCCTCCAGGGCAAGGACTCCCCTGGGGATTCAGCTCAGCCTGGTAGATTCAGTCCAAGCAGGTCCAGTCCCCTTCTCCCTTCACCCAGGCTGAGCAAAGTGTCCCTGCATAGGCCCCAGGCTCTAAGGCTCCAAACAGCTAGCTCATGCACTGAGGACAGGTCCAGGTCCCACTGTCTGGGGGCCTCCTAAAGAGTTCGAGCTAATCAACTGTCCCACTTATCCAGAGGGCCTGATCAGTTGGGAGCTCCTCAGCTAGTGGTTCATAGTTCATGTGTTTCTGTTAGTTTGGCTATTTGTCCCTGTGCTTTTTCCAATCATGGTCTCAACAATTCTCGCTCATACAATCCCTCTTTCTCGCCGATTGGATCTCTGCATCCGCTTCCATCAGTCATTAGATGAGAGTTCTACCACGACAGGGTGTTTGGCCATCCTATCACCTGAGTAGGTCAGTTCAGGCTTTCTCTCGACCATTGCCAGTAGTCTATTGTGGAGATATCTTTGTGGATTTCTAGGGACCTCTTTAGCACTTTGCTTCTTCCTATTCCCATGGGGTCTTCATTTATCATTATTTCTATAAATATTGGTGGCATGTTTTTTTTTTCCTTTTGGAGCCCACCACCCACCTCCCAAATAAATTGCACATGGAAGTTTATTCTTAATTATGAATGTTTGACCTTAGCTTGTCTTGTTTCTAGCCAGCTTTTCTTAACTTTAAATTATCCCATCTACCTTTGGCCTCTGGGCTTTTTCATTTTCTTACTTTTGTAAATCTTACTCTTACTCCGTGGCTTGCTGTGTAGCTGGGTGACTGGTCCCTGATGTCCTCCTCCTTCTCTGGCTACTTTTTCTACATATTCTCTTTGTCTGCCAGCCCTACCTATCCTTTCTCCTGCCTTGGTATTGGCCGTTCAGTTCTTTATTAGACCATCAGGTGTTTTAGACAGGCAAAGTAACACAGCTTCACAGAATTAAACAAATGCAACATAAACAAAAGTAACACACCTTAAAATCATATTCTACCACAGTGGTACATTCTGTACCTCTTGTAAAAGTCACCGAAACAACTGTAGCGAGTCTTTGTCCTGCCAGCCAGCTCCCAAATGATGACACAGAGACTTATTATTAGTTATGAAAGGTTGGCCTTAGTTTAGGATTGTTTTTAACTAGCTCTTGTAACTTAAATTAACCCATTTGTATTAATCTACGTTCTGTCGCATACTGCCCATTTTGCTTCCTTCAGTTTCCTGGAGTCTCTTGCACCTAGATTTATCTCCTCTTCTTCCTTTCTCTCCCCCGAAATCCTGCCTCTACCTCCTGCCTAACTATTGGCCGTTCAGCTTTTCATTACATCAATCACAGCAAATACACTTTCACACAGTGTACAAATATCTTACAACTGATTATTCAGTTTGAATATATTGAACCTGTCTTGGGCTTTACTCTCATGGCTCCTGCTTTGGGTAATTTTCTACCCTTGTAATTCATATTTTATTTTTAGTTTTCTAAAGAATTTTTATACTGGTGTTCAAAGTTTCTGGACAAATTTACATTCCTACAATGGATCAATGGATATAGAAAATGTGACATATCTACACTATGGGATATTACTCATCCATAAAGATGAATGAAACCATGATATTTGCATGAAAATGGGTGGAGCTGGAGATCATCACATTAATAAGATAAGCCAGATTCAGAAAGACAAACATAACCTATGCTGAATCTGGGTTTTAAAAAGATATGGTAGTAGGCTACTGAACTATAGTTATGCCATCTCAGGAAAGTATTCCTAAGTATTCCTCTTACTCCATGTCTGGCTGTGTAGCTGGGTGACTTGCATCCTCCTCTTTCTCCTTTTCACTCTCAGATTTCTCCTTCTATTTATCCTTTCTGCCTGCCAGCCTATTTCTCCTGCCTCACTTTTGGCCATTCAGTTCTTTATTAGACCATCAGGTGTTTTAGACAGGCAAAGTAACACAGCTTCACAGAGGTAAACAAATGCAACATAAACAAAAGTAGTACACCTTAAAATAATATTCTACAACATTGCAAAACAACCAACAACAGCTCTGGGATCCCATCTGGCTTGGACCTATATAGGCCCTGTATACAGTCTCTGAGTTCTTATGTGAAGCTCTTGTTTCCTTGGTGTCTTCCATCCCCACCAGCTCAAACAACCTTTCCACTTCCTTTTCCACAGAGTTCCCTGACCCCTGAGGGGAGGGATCTGATAGAACCATCCCATTTAGGACTGAGTGTTTCAAGGTCTCTCACTCTTTGCACATTGTCATGTGGGTTTCTGTATTTGTTCCCATCTGCTGAAGGAGGAAACTCCCCTCACCCCCAGACAGGGTTTCTCTGTGTAGTTTTGGTGCCTGTCCTGATCTCGCTCTGTAGACCAGGCTGGCCTCGAACTCACAGAGATCCACGTGGCTCTGCCTCCTGAGTGCTGGGATTAAAGGCGTGTGCTACCATCACCTGGCTGGGAGGAAGCTTCTTTGATGATGGCTGAACAAAATACTGATCTATGAGTATAGCAGTATGTCTGTAATACCTCAGTAAAACCCCCCACTCTATCCCTACAGACAAAGAGAAGTTTAAACCAGGATTCGTAAGTGTAGATAAGAACTTAGAGCCCTTTTCCCTAGGTGGCTGTATCTGCTACAGGGACTTTGGAAAACACAGTCAGGATATTCGACCAAAAGACTAAAAAGGGAGGCAGGTTAAAATAAATTGTATGGTCTGTGCCTTTAAGAACTAGCCTCACAAAGAAAGGGGAGCACTCCTTCCAACCTCCCTGCTGTGAGTGAGAGATTTAGAAGAGCCTCCCTGGAGGCTTGTAAACTTAGAAAACACCTTACATTTGCATTCTATACCTAAAGTCTCCAGTGGCGGCTTTGGGGACATGATCTAGGCACAACAAGACCCTCACTCTATTGTCTCAAAAAGGGGGCCTTAGACAAAGATATTTCAATATAGATAGACCCAGGCCAGTTTCAAGTCCCCAGAAATGATGGCACCAGCCCCAGGAACAAAAGAACAGAGTCAGGATGTCTGATGGTAACCAATTAACCACGAGATGCCCCTCTCTGGAGATAACATGACCAGACCCCGGAGAGGAGTTGTAAAACTCCTGACAGGGCAAACAGATAAGCTAGAATAAGAAAGTCCAGGCCCGGGGAAAAACTGGACCAATCAAGGATGGACCCGTACTAACCCCCTCCCCTCTAAGAAATTTTATGGGTTTTGCCTATAAAAACTAACTTCCCCAAGAAAGAGTAACTCTTCTCTGCCTCACTTGAGATAGCTTGAGTTCAGTTCCCTGTCATGACTTGTAACAGATAAACCTTGCTTTTGCATTCTGGTATGCTCACCCTTGGTGGTCTCTCTGGGGGTTACGATCTGGGCACAACATGTCATTGTATTGCTACATTCCTTTAGCAGAACAGAAGTATTTGGTTTTCCCCTAGGTCCATGGCCTATTTAGTTTCAGGTTCTTGGCCACCTGAGCAGTGTCGGGCATGGGTTCCATAGACTGGGCCTTAACTCCCATCAAATAGTGGTTGGTTGCTCCCACATTTGTGCCACTATTGGAGCAGTGTATCCTGCAGGCAGGTAACCATTGTAGATCACAGGGACTGTAGCTGGGTTGGTATTTACCTTTTCCTCTGGTAGCATGCAGTGTACCTTCCTGTATTGTCAACATTAGTCAGTAGGGGTGAAGGATCTAGTTAGGCACCACCTCAACTTCTCCCTGTTCAGTGAGTTATGTAGGTGTTGTCTTCAGCAATAGGACATAACCATCAGTTTGTAGAGAGCAACCAATAGCCTTGGCAATATCTTGGGTGGTTTTGGGGTTTTTATGGGGTTTCTTGGGCCAAAAACTCAACTAGATAAAACCCGTTCTTGACACTGGATGTTTTACTTGGTTGTGAGAGTATCTAGTTGGGGTTTTGTCTACCCCATTATTTGCTGAGTCCATTTAGATTTCTTTCATATTTCCTCTATGTCTTGAAGTTTTTATTATACAACTCTTTCACAGCCTTGCTTAGAGTTACCTCTAGATATATACTTTTTCAGGTTTTAAAGGTATTGTTTCCCTTATTTCTTTCTCAGTCCATTTGTCATTTGTATATAGGAAGACTACTGATTTTTGTGTATTAATTTTGTATCATGCTATTTTTCTGGAAGTGTTTATAAGCTATAGAAGCTTCCTGGTGTTTGGGGATCATTTATATATAAAATCATGTGTGGTGATATTATGTTCCCCAAAATTTTGTGCACCCTAGTAAACTTATCTGGGGTCAGAGGACAGAACAGCCACTAGATATAGAGGCCAGAAAATGGTGGCACACATGCCTTTAATCCTATCACTTGGGAGGTAGAGATCCATCCTGATTTCTGTGAGTTTAAAGTCACACTGGAAACAGCCAGGCATGGTGACTCATGCCTTTAATCCCAGGAAGTGAGCCTTTAATCTCAGGAAGTGATGGCAGAAAGCAGAAAGGTATATAAGGCATGAGGACCAGGAACTAGAGCTGGTTAAGCTTTTAGGCTTTCGAGAAGCAGTTCAGCTAAGATCCATTTGGATAAGGACTCAGAGGCTTCCAGTCTGAGGAAACAGGATCAGCTGAGGAATTGGCGAGGTGAGGCTGTGGCTTGTTCTGCTTCTCTGATCTTTCAGCATTCACCCCAATAACTGGCCTCAGGTTTGTTTTTATTAATAAGACCTGTTAAGATTCGTGCTACAATCATGTCATCTGCAAATAAAGATACTTTGACTTCTTCCTTTTCTATTTGTATCTCCCTGATCTCCTTCAATTGTCTTATTGCTCTAGCTAAGTCTTC